CTCCTCCTCCTCCTCCTCCTCCTCCTCCTCCTCCTCTACGTGTGGCAGTGGTGGTGGCACATGGGCCCATTAGAGGAGGCCACCCGGGGGGCCGCCGCCCGAGTGCTCTGGGGAGCCGCGCCTGCTGGAGCTCCTGGGCGCGCTGGATGGTCTGCCAGGCGGGGGCGCCGTACCGGGCGGGGACGACGGTGGCGCAGAGGTCAGGGGCGGCCTGGCCGACCCCTGGCAAGCCATCCTCTTCCGTGACGCTCCCCTCGCCTCGCCCCAAGACGGATGTGTCAGAGGCGACCATAGGGGCGAATAGTCCAGGGGAGAGCAAAACATGTATTCAGGTGCGCCGATGATCTATGTTTTCGAAAAGGCTCCCGGGCGAATACGTGTAATGCCCGCCCCTGGGCTATTCGCCCCTGTCGTCGCCGCCGAATGTGTGCGGCCAGAGTGAAGTCGGGCATGTCCCTCTACAGGAGGAATTGTTGAAAGCAGTCAAACAAAATCTGGTGACGATGGTTTTACGCTGCCTATGTTTGATGGTTTTGAGAATCTGTTCTCTGTCGTCCAAGATTCGCCTGTAGGAGGACATGCCAGACCTAACCCAAGACGGATGTGTGCGGCCAGAGGCAAATTAGCGAGGCGAGGGGGACAACTCGGAGGGGGATGGTTTGCTAGGGGTCGGTTAGGCCGCACCCGAAGAGGGCGATGCGGGCGTGGGCACGCGGTTGCTGCTGAGCGACCAGCGGGTCAACATCTGGGAGTTCTGGCTGCGGCCGCGGGAGTCTTGTGCGTACCACCGGCACAGGCTCCCCTACCTCTTCACGAATCTGACCGCCAGCTTCACGCAGGCCCTGACCGAGGAAGGCTCCGAGGAGGCTTGCGCCCCACAGTTTCAGCGCCGCGGCCAAACCACGTTTGCAGGGCTGGACAGCCTTGGCGCCCACGGAGACCAGGGCAACGAACACCACAGGGGCTTCCTCCTCTCCTGCCTCTTCTTCCCCCAGGGGTTCAAATCGCACTGCCCCTGCCTTGGCGCCTACGGAGTCCAGGGCAGCCAACACCACAAGGGCTTTCCCTCCCCTGAATCTTCTTCCCCCAGGGGGTCAAATCGTACTGCCCATGTGGTTTTCGCTGAGCAGAGGAGTTAGGAACGTGGGGGACGGCGATTTCTTGCAAGTCATCGTGGAGTTCAAGTCGTAGGTCAGTGACGAGCCAGCTCGAAGACGCCGCTCCTGGTTGCTCAGCCCTGCCCTTCAGCCCCCAAAGTCTTCCTCCATTCCATCGCGGCACGTTCCTGTCTCCATGTGCAGCCGCCCACTTGTGTTTTCATATCCTGCCCGACTTATCTGCCCCCCCTGGTCACCCTGCTGGCCACAACTTACTTATCTTCCTCCTCCTTCTCCACTTCTTCTGCCTATCATTATTATGCGCATCGTGTTCCCCCACCGTTACCACTTCCGATCCTCATCCACCCCCTGCCTATTCTTCTCCTGCTCGGCTTCATCCTCCTCCTCCTCCTCCTCCTCATCCTCATCCTCATCCTCCGCCTCCTCATTTCCATCCTCGCTCCCCCTCCTCCTCTCCGTCCCAGCCACAGCTTGCGCCGGGGTTCGGGGGTGCAACAGGAGCTTGCGTTTCAAATTGTTGTTTCCCAACCATCTTGTGGTGCAGGGTCCCCGTTTTGAATCAGCAGCGCCCCATGTACATTTCTTTATCCTGTCCTTCTTTCTTCCTCCCCCTCCTCCCTCCTCCTATCCGTCCATCCTCTCATCCTTGACCACGCCCACTGGCACGCCCCTCGCACCTTTCGTGGTCCGATATGGAGCTCCACCGATGGCTCCACTGGCAGGAACCGCACGCGTGACCGCGCCCATTTTGGCACACTCCTTACACGTTTGGTGGCCTGTAGGGAGCTCCACCGAAGGCTCCGCCGGCAGGAACCACCATGCGTGACCGCGCCCACTTTCGCCGCACCCCTTACGCGCTTCGTGGCCCGGGCTCCGCCGAAGGCCCCTGCGACAGGAGTCGCGTGACCGCGCCCAGCTCGGCACACCCCTCACGTCATGTTTCGTGGGCCCATAGGGAGCTCCACCGAAGACCCCAGCGGTAGGAATCGCAAGCGTGAGCGCGCCCATTTCGGCATAACCATCGCGCGTTGCGTGGCCCCACGGGGGAGCTCCACCGCAGGCCCCAGCGGCAGGAATCGCACACGTGACCACGCCCATGTTGGCACACCTCTCGCATGCCTCGTGGCCCCATCGGGAGCTCCATCAAAGGCCCAGCGACAGGAGTCGCACGCGTGAACGCGCCCATTTTGGCACACCCATCACTCGTTTCGAGGGCCCCAGTGGCACCAGTCGCACGCGTGACCGCGCCCATTTCGGCACACCCATCACTTGTTTCGTGGCCCCACGCGGGAGCTCCACCGAAGACCCCAGCGGTAGGAATCGCATGCGTGACCACGACCATGTCGGCGCTCCCCTCACGCGCTTCGTGGCCCCATCGGGAGCTCCATTAAATGCCCCGCCGCCCGTTGCTCCCCAGGGCCGTGGCAACAGACGCACAGATCAGCCGTAAGGTATTCTGTGGTATCATGTGACCTGTTACGGCCGACCACTGCGCCCCTATCAGCCACGCCGTTCCGTCCTTCTCACGCGCTTCTACTTCCTTCTAGCCCCCCTCCCTTCGTTTCCACCTGTCTTGCGGTTCTCACCTTGCATGTGGTTGGGTCTTGCGCCAAGCTACTAGTATGAGTTGTAGGGATGGCGTGTGGAGAAGACTTGGTGGCTCTCTGAGGTCTTTATTATTCAACTCCTGCTCCAATAACTAGTCGCTTTTGTGGGAGGGCTGCACATCGATTCTCTTTGTGGAGGGGGGTCATAGGTAGTCTCCTGTGTGGGCAACACAGATTCCCTTCCTGGGGAGGTTACACTTCGAGTTCCTCTGCGGGGGAGGGGGGGCGCATGTATTCCTTTTGCAGCTGAGGAGAGAGGGTTTGCCCCCATGGGGGAAGATCACGGGACAAAAACACGTGCCCCCTAAATCCACTGGTGCCGTCTCTCCCCCCCCTTGACCATGCTCGGCCCACGAACTCGGCCCACGAACCCCTCACATAGAAATGTGACGCGTGGACATGTTTTCAAGACGGCAAGCTTGGGTGACGGGCAGTTGCAATTCTGAAAGGTCGATGGTGATTTGTTGTGACAGGGATTGTGTTGTGTTGTGGTGAATTGGAAGGTGCCATGCCGCGTTGGATTGTGCTGTGCTCTTTTGCGTTGTGGATCAGGCCGTTCTTGGCGTCATATTCCCGACCGAACTGATTTCGATCTGAAGTTCGAGCTGCCTGAACGCATAGCACGCACGGTGAGTGGACAGACCAAAGGCGGGCGAACCGAAACACGGCGGTCTGCATCAAGACTATGCGAAACAAGTTCTGCCCACGGGCGAGCGGAGCCCATGTTAAAAAACACATGTGTTAGCTCGCAGGGCGAAAGGGGCCCACGTAGCAACACGTGGTTTTAGCTCGCGGGCGAAGGGACTTCGTGTAGAGCACAACCTTTGCGCTGACGGGCGAAGGGGGGCCAAGTCAAAGCACAGGGCGTTGGTCCACAGGAGACAGGAACCCATGTCAAAGCACGTGGCTTCAGCTCCCAGGCGACGTGGACGCAGGCAAAAACACATGGTGTTGGCCCACGGGCGAAAAGGAACCAATGTAGAAACACATGGTTTGGGCTCAAGGGCGAATGGAGTTCATGTAAAACCATGCGGTCTGGGCCCACGGGCGAACTGAACCAATGTAAGAGCGCACGGCTAGAGCTTACAGACGAAAAGACACCATATAACGCAAGCGTTTCGAACGAGACATCCTCAACCCATCCTCATGTTAGACATCCGCCTGGGCGACCAGGACACATGAGAAAACACGCGCGTTGTCCGAGACATCCTCAACCCGTACGCATGTTAGATATCCACCTGGGCGACCTGAGGCGCTTCTTCAAAGCAGGCGTGTTGCTCGAACCATCCTCGAACTCTGTGCGCAGGGCGCACCAGCCTCGTGCGGGCACACGC